ATCCTAGATCTCTTTTCAATCCAGTTGCCAAACTCACCCAGAGCCATAGCTCTGTTGAACCATCCATTCCACCTGCTCTTAGCAGCAATGATTTTATGGGATTTTTTATAAATTAGATTGATTCTATTAAAAATAAGATTACAGAAACACCTGAACATGTTTATTAGGTGCAGTAAGTATGAAGTTAAAAGTCTTTAAACTTAGAATTGGGTTTTACTGGGGAGCTGACGTTTAAAGATATTGCAGCAGAATTGAATAATGAAGTAGGAAAAGGAAGATTTCTTGTTTTTAAGAAAAAGCGGTCTCATCAGTTGATAAATTAGGTGATAAATATGGAGTCCATAAGATGGCAGTAATGCAACACGATGGTTGCAAGCTGCCAAAGAAGAAGAACAGAGTATATTGAGCCCACAGGTGGAACAAGGCAGTGATGGAGGTTCAATTTTTCATCCAGACTTCAGGACATGACTGATAGAAAATGTTTATAAAGTGAATTTTGCATAATATGACCTTTAATGTTTTTTCCTGTTCTACTGCATTTTAGATCATCTGCCAAAGATTCTAGCGCTCCACACTGCGCCTTTGTTAACCCTCTCAGTACTTCCTGTTCGGTTTTTAGGTATTATTCCGTCGTCTGACATGAATCTTTCCTTTACCGTCTTTATCTTCATTTATACTGTTTGACATCAACCTTCTGTTTGTTCATGTTGATGGCTAGGTTCTAAAAATAAGTTTATCTTTAGTGTCAACTTTAACAGCTGATTATGTCAGAATCAGATTAATAAATCTTACAAATATGTGATTTTATCGGTAAAAATCATAAAGTCAGGATATCTTAGCTTCTTAAACTATAGGAACTATTCCTCTCTTCCTAATTCTCAACACCTTTTATTTTCTGCCAACAAACAGCAGCAGGACTGAAACAAAGCAGGCAGGAAAGAAGAAACGGCCAGACGATGTCTGACCAATTAAGGATTTATTTCACATTTTGAATATCATCAGCTTGTTTGAGGAATTTAAGTCATCACAGAACAGGTTACAGTTATAATTTGGGAGAAGTTTGTGGGCAGAAGGAGAAGAAAAACAACCAGTTAAAAAAAAACAACAATCAACAATAACAGAATGTAGGTTAGGAGTTTTGGTGAAAGCTGTAGTTTAAACAACATGAATTCAAATGTCAGCGACTGGTCCTGACTTTCACCTTTCTGTGTGAGGATAATAATAGACCGGATGAAATCAGGCAACCAGGGAGACAGAGACTTTACCACATGGGAGACGTCGTTAAGCACCGCAGCCACAATACGAGCACACAGCGACTGGACAGGAGTTAGACCACTGCAGCAGTCAGAGCGCTGCTGTATACACCTGGATTTACCTGAGTCAAGTTTCAAACGAGGATATAACTCGGGTAATAAGGAGGACATTTCAAAAGCGAATGTTTGGTAAAACCCATTTAGACACCTTGAAGCACAAACAGTCAGAGTTACACAGGCACTTGAGAAAAGGGACAAAACACAAAGACTTCCGATAAGGCACAACAGATACGAGGACACAAACACCGGTCTTTGGGACGAAAACAGGCCAACATGGCAGACACAGGTTCTTAGAAAATACATGATTTAATTCAGTTTTAAAACAATGAAAGCTCTTAATTGGAAAATCTTTAGGGATTTAATTATGTAAATTTGAAGTTTCCTGCTGAGGATCTGAAACATTTACACATCTCTCATTTAATCGCCTATAGTGAAAATTAGAATGAGAATAAAGATCCAATCTACTTACACTTTTTTACTGGCGGACAGGTTTAAATTAAGACAAAATAAACCTCCATCTAATGTTTTGGTTTATTCTAAAATTAACTTAAGATAAAGACACATTTCTGAGTCTAATCATTGGCTGGATCCAATCACAGTGTTTAGGGAATAGTGCTGTAGCACTAAGCTACACAGCTAATTAGCTACAGCAATTAGCGACAGCTAGCTCTACGGTTGGTCAGTGGGCCAGTTCAGGCCAGTTAAAAGAACCAGGACTCTCAGACTGTGGAGATCATCCATCATTGTTTCCCAGCAGCTCCTCCAGGACTGCTCCCACTGTGACGTTTCATCTGGCCAGAACCTCCGCTGGGCTACCAGTTCCAAAAAAACTAAAGTTAGCATGGTAAGGAAAGTGGCAATGCTTCCTCTAGAACTATAAAAGGTTCTGGCAAAAATAAACGTCTTTAATGTTCTTGGCATCTTGAGGAAATTATTTCTTATAGATGAATTGCCTCAGCTGACCACAGCTAATTAAATGAAGCTAACATTCCCTTTCTTGGCCGTTATCTGCCTCAGCTAGCCCGTTTAGCTAGGTCCAGCTCCCAATTCACAGCTAGCTTTGCCCAGCGAGCAAAAAATGGTTGAAAACACGACATGATTTTCATCCAAACGACGTTTACATTTAGTTAAAAAGTGAAAGGTGAAAAGCCGTGATTTTCAGATTGTGGAAAATACGTTGAAAACTTCTATTATTGGACTAAAGTTAAATGAAATCAGACGGACCAAACGCAGCCCAGTTTTCAACGAGCATTTCTGGACTAAATCAAAGCTATGATGGTCTTAAAAACCAACGTCTAAATGAGTCTGGTGTGGGGGCTACATTTTATTACCATCAGCTGATTACCGCCAACTAACACCATCTAGCTGTACCTCTGGGCTAAAGCTAGCTACAGTTAATTAGCTGCCGATTGCTACAGCTAATTAGCCACCTGTTTTGGGCTAGCTATTTCTGTGTGAATGGCAGATCTGAACAGGACTTCAACCGGAACATCTAAGGTGAGCCCAGCTGAAGATATGCACCAGAACTCACCATGACGACCTGCTGACCCCCCCAGCCTCAGCCTTCATTGTTATCACTATAGCAACGGATGAAAACAAACATATTCAATACAGCTTTCTTAGTTTCATTTAGACCACAAAGCAATTTCTCTTTCATTACATTGATTTTCTGAGACATTCACCAAAAAACATGAAAACACTGAATTAAAGACCTGTGGATATCACACCTGTGGAACACCTGTGGATATCACACCTGTGGATATCACACCTGTGGATATCACACCTGTGGATATCACACCTGTGGAACACCTGTGGATATCACACCTGTGGATATCACACCTGTGGATATCACACCTGTGGATATCACACCTGTGGAACACCTGTGGATATCACACCTGTGGAACACCTGTGGACATCACACCTGTGGAACACCTGTGGATATCACACCTGTGGATATCACACCTGTGGATATCACACCTGTGGATATCACACCTGTGAAACAACTGTGGATATCAGACCTGTGGATATCACACCTGTGGATATCACACTTGTGGATATCACACCTGTGGATATCACACCTGTGGATATCACACCTGTGGAACACCTGTGGATATCACACCTGTGGATATCACACCTGTGGATATCACACCTGTGGAACACCTGTGGATATCACACCTGTGGAACACCTGTGGATATCACACCTGTGGATATCACACCTGTGGATATCACACCTGTGGATATCACACCTGTGGACATCACACCTGTGGATATCACACCTGTGGACATCACACCTGTGGATATCACACCTGTGGACATCACACCTGTGGAACACCTGTGGATATCACACCTGTGGATATCACACCTGTGGATATCACACCTGTGGATATCACACCTGTGGACATCACACCTGTGGAACACCTGTGGATATCACACCTGTGGATATCACACCTGTGGATATCACACCTGTGGATATCACACCTGTGGATATCACACCTGTGGAACACCTGTGGATATCACACCTGTGGATATCACACCTGTGGATATCACACCTGTGGAACACCTGTGGATATCACACCTGTGGAACACCTGTGGATATCACACCTGTGGATATCACACCTGTGGATATCACACCTGTGGATATCACACCTGTGGACATCACACCTGTGGATATCACACCTGTGGACATCACACCTGTGGATATCACACCTGTGGACATCACACCTGTGGAACACCTGTGGATATCACACCTGTGGATATCACACCTGTGGATATCACACCTGTGGATATCACACCTGTGGACATCACACCTGTGGAACACCTGTGGATATCACACCTGTGGATATCACACCTGTGGATATCACACCTGTGGATATCACACCTGTGGACATCACACCTGTGGATATCACACCTGTGGAACACCTGTGGATATCACACCTGTGGACATCACACCTGTGGACATCACACCTGTGGAACACCTGTGGATATCACACCTGTGGATATCACACCTGTGGATATCACACCTGTGGATATCACACCTGTGGACATCACACCTGTGGAACACCTGTGGATATCACACCTGTGGATATCACACCTGTGGATATCACACCTGTGGATATCACACCTGTGGACATCACACCTGTGGATATCACACCTGTGGAACACCTGTGGATATCACACCTGTGGACATCACACCTGTGGACATCACACCTGTGGAACACCTGTGGATATCACACCTGTGGATATCACACCTGTGGAACACCTGTGGACATCACACCTGTGGAACACCTGTGGATATCACACCTGTGGAACACCTGTGGACATCACACCTGTGGATATCACACCTGTGGACATCACACCTGTGGACATCACACCTGTGGAACACCTGTGGATATCACACCTGTGGATATCACACCTGTGGAACACCTGTGGATATCACACCTGTGGACATCACACCTGTGGATATCACACCTGTGGATATCAGGGTTGTAAATGCTCATGGCCGGTCTGCATCAGCAGCCAGGTAGCCACTGAGAATGGCGGAAATAGACACTACATACATCACAGAGCTGCATCTTTAAACGGGACATTTAGGTCAGGAAATGACGAATCACAGCCTCGTTGTTGATTGTCCTTTATATAGAGCCCGCCTCCGCACCCTCTGAACTTCACTGGATTGGTCGTTAAACAGATTTCAGATAGTTTTTTCCTTCATTTGTTTAATTATGTGGTTTACAGATGAAGTGCTGATTAACAGTCAGACCTTCTCATCCCTAAGACTACAGACCCACAGGTGGATCACGGTTTCTGCAGGTTTGAAGAGTCCATCTTTCAGACCCCCCCAAACAAAGAACACAGATAAAGACACAGCAGAGGTTTCTATGGAGGTGTGACCCTTTGAGTTGCAGACCAGGGAGGAGGCTGGTGTAGGTAGTTTAACTCCTGGGGAGGAGGCCCTTCTTGTAGGCCACCAGGCCTGCCGCAGCAGCAGCAGACAGCACGGTGGAGACGCCCACCAACTTTAGGAAACCGCCGACCGACGGCAAATTCCTCTCCCAGAAACTGGTGACGAACGGCAGAGCAGGAACTTCCTGACGGGGGAGGAGACAGACCTTACAGTGAATGTCCTCTAACGCAGCGGAAGATAAAAACATCCCAATCATTCCTTGCCTGGCTCTCCGGCTCCGGCTGGTGGATCTGACTCTGGTGGATTTTACCCATTGCACACAAGACCTGTAGGGACACGGTGGTTACAGCAGCAGCAGACGGCCACGGGTGGTTTAACAGAATAAAGATGACTTCATGGTTTTATTGGACTGCAGGTCAGACTTTAAACCAGGCAGAATTAGAACCTCCCCCCCCAAGAAATCAGTGACATGTCCAACTTATTTCTTTAAAAAAAGGAAGTAGCAGAAGCCTTTAAATTACAGCTACTTGTTAAGGTATCGCCACTAGTCTGCAGTTGGGTAAAGATCTGGACTTTGACTAGGCCATCTCAGCCCAAAGCAGGGTGAGCGATTTGGACCGACACGTAGCGAGACATTTGGCTCTAATGCAGATAGAGGACACAGAAATTAAAATCCGTTTTAGAAAATCCAGGGTGCATTCTTAGAGAACACTGTCTCGAGCCCATTTTCTCGTTAAACATATCAATTAACGAGGTTTTTTCCTGGTAATCAGAGCTTCTTTATTTAAAATGAATTAATCAATGGTCCCAAAGAAAGCAGCCCAATCTAAGCTCATCAAGCTGATATTAATCAGAAACGTCTGAATGAACGAGGAGTTTCTGCCAAGAAGATCAGTGAGGTGATGCTGGACGAACACATCCAGACTGCATCTAGTCTTGTTTTTCTACAGTAATCTGGAATCTGATGTAATTCTCTGCTTGATCCAGATGATGAGCAGCAGCCTGATTGGTTCCTGAGGAGAAGTTAATTTCCTCCGACTGATGAAGTCGGACCTGGAACATTTCCCCATAGCCCTACCTGGGGGGGGGGGGGGGGGGGGGTTATATATAATGCGGGGAGTTCTCTGACCTCTCTGGCTGCCCGCTCCCCAGCCTGCACCGCCCCCTCCATGTAGCCGCTCCACTCTGACGCCGTCTCCGTTCCTGCAAAGTACAGCCTGCCGACAGGCTCCCTCAGAACCCTGGAGGACGGAAAACACCACATCAGTCCTTCAGCTGAGCGCAGCAACACTAGTTTGAAGGAAAGCAGCTTGAGGAAAATGGAAACCATGCCACCACATCTGAACCTGAACAGGCTGCGCTCAGCCTTCACTGCTGCCTCCTAGTGGAGGCCTGCAGCATCTGCACTAGAACTGAGGCACAGCTCCACCTACCGGCCAAACTGGGTCAGGGTTCCAGGAGGGAAATAAGCCGTGTAGCAGCCTCCGGAGTACTCCTCCTCACACCAGTTCTTCTCCTCGTAGTGCACCGGCTGAAAGACAGCAGAGGCCATGAGAAGCTGCTGAAGCTGCTGAAGCTGCCGAAGCTGCTCAGCTCTCTGGGTGCTGACTCACATGGAGAGCCTCCTGGGAGCCCAGAACTCTGGAGTAGACCTCACAGATCCTCTTCAGCCTGAACAAAGCAACACAAAAGTTGACACCAAGGCCGCTGGCGGCAGGTTAGAGTGAATTTAACCCGCTGTGGCTGGACGCCGTGGTTTTTCTAACCTCTCCTCTTTGGTCAGACCTGCCAGCTTCCTGCACTTCCGGGCCAGGATGAATCTGCAGGAGGAGAAAGGAATAAATGTCCAACCTCTTTTAAGGGTTGTAATTAATAGCAGCACTTTATGCTCATTGTTTATTTCAACAACTAATATTCAGTTATAGTTTTTTTATTCTGAATGCCTGGAAAATAGAGCCTGAATTAAAGGAAGATTTCTTTCCTTTTCTTTTTTTACAGTGTCCTGTCTGGCGATGAGGCAATAAGAATAATAGTTTTGATGCCAAAAAGAGCCCAACAGGTTTTACTTTCACAGGTGGAGCAGTACGGCTATCGCCATAGTGTTCCACTGGATTTATGCGTATAAATATCTTTATTATAATTATGCAGGGAGTTTAACAGATTATATGGACGCTGCAATGTAGGTAGAACAGAAGAGGAAAACTGGAAAAAGATAAGAAAAGATGAAAGAAGGAGGAGATAAAGTTTAGTAAAGTTTATCCAAAGATTAAATGCTCAATAGTGGTTGTGGAGAGCTGAAGAGGCGCCCCGCCATCGGCCACCCAGGCCCCACAGCCGCCCCCCGCAAAGACCACGGACCAGGCGGCTCTTCCTCCAGGCCCCAGACTCTGGGCGGCAGCTGGAGAACAGGGGTGTGAGAAGACCCCCATCCTCCCTGGGCCTGTTGCATGTTGCTCTCAGGTGTAATTAAAACTGGGAGTACCAAGAGGGGGTGTCCGGCACAGTCCACCCCCCCAATCGACAACCCAGAACCCTCAGTGTCTAAATGCGAGAGGGGATGGGGGAGCCGACCGTGGTGAGGCCCATGAAATATCTGGCTGATAAATCCTCCTCCCATTTAGTAATAGGAAGAGATATTGGATCATCCAGTTTAGTCAGTGTCCTTTTGGGGGGTTAACTCTAGAAACTCTGATATTTTAGTTGGAATTATTAAACCTCCATCAATATGCTTAAATTTATTTCTAATTATAGCTTTGATTTGCTCATATTCTAAGAATTTATTTTTGTTAATGCCATATTGCACATTTAATCTGGCAAATGTGATAAACTCCGTACCTTCAAACAAATGATCCAGATAGTTAATACCTTTATTCTTCCAGTACGGAAAGTTTATCACATTATTGTTTTGTAGAATGTCAGGGTTATTCCAGATGGGTGTACGACTGCCCGGGATAAGTGATGAGTTCGTTATTTTTAGAAATTCCCACCATGCTGTCAGGGAAGAGCTGATGTTAATATTTTTAAAACATGCTGCTTGATCTTAGAGCTAATAAACGGCAAATCTGAAATTGTGATATCACTGCATAATTCCTGTTCTCTGTCTATCCAGGGCTCATCTAAGGGATTATGTTTTATCCATTTAGAGATGTATTGGAATCTATTTGCTAAGTAGTAGTGTTGGAAGTTAGGTAAATCTAGTCCCCCTCTTTAGTTTTCTGCAGTTTTCTTTCCTGCTCTTAGTTTGTAATAATGTTTGTCGAAAGTTTTTATAAGTTCCTGTCACACCTTGATGATTTAGATCAGCGAATGCCTGGCGTACGAAAAATCTGGCAAAAAAAAAACGCTGGTAAACAGTATTAGTTATGAGCACGCTGAATCACGATGGAACACGTCGACGTACAGCGAGTACGTCTGCCAGCGTCTGCCAGCGTGGTCCATCAGTTCCAGGTCAGTTATCTGATGAACATCCGTTCAGCATCAGTTCCTCATCAGTCGTGGCGTCTAGCTGATCCTAAACCTCTGACTAACTTATCCAGAACTTCTCTCCAACATATCAGCGTATCTGCCGTGTTCCAGACGAGCGCTGAACGTGTTTCTAGCTTCCAGCTACTGTATAATGGCGTATTGGCAGCGTTTTGGTATAAAGGGGGTTCACAGGAGGAAACCGTCAGTTCTCCTCCAGACTTCATCCCCATCATAGGGTGAGCCAGAAGGTGAGTGATGGATCCTCCCTGCGTTCACGCCCACCACCAACACACTTCCTAGCAGACATCAAGCTCGATCTGCTGCCACCAGAAACCTGCTTTCTTTATTTATTTCTTTCTTTCTTTGGCGGGCGGTAAACAGCAGTTAGGTTACTGTGATCATTTCAGGGCATCACGCTGCCGTGCGTTATGCAGAAGTTAGGCCGTCGTTGGACAGAAGTTCTGGACTCGTTATGAATCCTCTAAACACCCAGAATAGAGAAAATTCATAGAAAGTTCAGCGTCTGCCAGAGTTTAGCAGATTGTGGGACAGCAGGCAGACGCTGGATAAATCAAGATGTAACAGGAGCTTAAAGGAACCCTAAAACTAAAAGCTTTTAAAGAGAATTCATTAAACAAACTAAGTGATGAATCCCAGAGGGAACTTAAATGTCAGAGTAACTCAAAGGTTCGCTGTAACTGCTTGTTAAAGGTGTTGATGGCTGCAGGCAGGAAGGATCTTCTGTAGCAGTTTATGTGCAGCAGTCATGGAAAACTATGGAAATCTAATCATGTTTATAATCCTTTAAAAGATCAATCAGAGGCTCTTCTCAACATTAACATAGAAAACTGTGGAATAGAAAAGCTGCTGCTTCTCTAGATGTTCCATCCTGTCTATCTGCTGCTCACCCCATGATAGCAGGAACCGTCCCATCAGGCTTAGTGTCGTCCAGAGTCAGGCCGATAGGAGCCCCCTCCTCCTCGATCACCATGGTACCGCAGTAACCTGATCACACCAGAGGTTAAAACCAGCCAATTGCTGCGCAGCAATCCCTCCATCCAGATGCGCTTACCCTTTTTCCTCCAGAAGTTCTCCTTGTAGTAGACCATGCATTTGATGACGGAGCCCATGGGGACCCTGTAGATCAGCTGGTTCCTGAGGGGGGGCAGCTCCGGGTTAAAGTGCATCTTAAGGATCAGCCCGGGGGGAGTGGCCACGATGACGTATCTGGCCTAAAGAAAAATAAAGACTAATTCAGGAGAGAAACCAGCAGGTGGCAGCAAAACACAACCGTTTGGTTTCCTCTGAGATTCTGAGCAAAGAAGATTCTGCTCTGGATCAACAGATCTGAAGGTGGCAACCATGGACATGTCTCTCTGTCTGTCCGTCTGTCCTTCTGTCTCACTGTCCATATGTCTCTCTGTCTGTCTGTCCGTCTCTCTGTCCATATGTCTCTCTGTCCTTCTGTCTCACTGTCCGTCTGTCTCACTGTCCGTCTCTCTGTCCTTCTGTCTCACTGTCCGTCTCTCTGTCCTTCTGTCTCACTGTCCGTCTCTCTGTCCGTCTGTCTCACTGTCCGTCTCTCTGTCCTTCTGTCTCACTGTCCGTCTCTCTGTCCTTCTGTCTCACTGTCCGTCTCTCTGTCCTTCTGTCTCACTGTCCGTCTCTCTGTCCTTCTGTCTGTCTGTCCGTCTCTCTGTCCATCCGTCTCTCTGTCCTTCTGTCTCACTGTCCGTCTCTCTGTCCGTCTGTCTCACTGTCCATATGTCTCTCTGTCTGTCTGTCCGTCTCTCTGTCCTTCTGTCTCACTGTCCGTCTCTCTGTCCGTCCGTCCATCCATCTCTCTGTCCGTCCGTCTCTCTGTCCTTCTGTCTCACTGTCTGTCTCTCTGTCCTTCCGTCTCTCTGTCCGTCCGTCTCTCTGTCCGTCTGTCCGTCTCTCTGTCCTTCTGTCTCACTGTCCGTCTCTCTGTCCGTCCGTCTCTCTGTCCTTCTGTCTCACTGTCCGTCTCTCTGTCCGTCCGTCTCTCTGTCCGTCTCTCTGTATGTCTGTCCATATGTCTATCTGTCCGTCCGTCCGTCTCCCTGTCCATATGTCTCTCTGTCTGTCTGTCCGTCTCTCTGTCCGTCTCTGTCCATATGTCTCTCTGTCTCACTGTCCGTCTCTCTGTCCTTCCGTCTCTCTGTCTGTCTGTCCATATGTCTATCTGTCCGTCCGTCCGTCTCTCTGTCCGTCCGTCTCTCTGTCTGTCTGTCCGTCTCTCTGTCCGTCCGTCTCTCTGTCCATATGTCTCTCTGTCTGTCTGTCCATATGTCTCTCTGTCCGTCCGTCCGTCTCTCTGTCCTTCCGTCTCTCTGTCCGTCCGTCTCTCTGTCCGTCCGTCCGTCTCTCTGTCCATATGTCTCTCTGTCTGTCTGTCCGTCTCTCTGTCCGTCCGTCTCTCTGTCCGTCCGTCTCTCTGTCTGTCCGTCTGTCTCTCTGTCTGTCTGTCTCTCTGTCCGTCTGTCTCTCTGTCCGTCCATCTCTCTGTCCGTCCGTCTCTCTGTCCATATGTCTCTCTGTCAATATGTCTCTCTGTCTGTCTGTCCATATGTCTCTCTGTCCGTCCGTCCGTCTCTCTGTCCTTCCGTCTCTCTGTCCGTCCGTCTCTCTGTCCGTCCGTCCGTCTCTCTGTCCATATGTCTCTCTGTCTGTCTGTCCGTCTCTCTGTCCGTCCGTCTCTCTGTCCGTCCGTCTCTCTGTCTGTCCGTCTGTCTCTCTGTCTGTCTATCTCTCTGTCTGTCTCACTGTCCATATGTCTGTCTGTCCGTCTCTCTGTCCATATGTCTCTCTGTCCTTCTGTCTCACTGTCCGTCTGTCTCACTGTCCGTCTCACTGTCCGTCTCTCTGTCCTTTTGTCTCACTGTCCGTCTCTCTGTCCGTCTGTCTCACTGTCCGTCTCTCTGTCCTTCTGTCTCACTGTCCGTCTCTCTGTCCATCCGTCTCTCTGTCCTTCTGTCTCACTGTCCGTCTCTCTGTCCTTCTGTCTGTCTGTCCGTCTCTCTGTCCATCCGTCTCTCTGTCCTTCTGTCTCACTGTCCGTCTCTCTGTCCTTCTGTCTCACTGTCCGTCTCTCTGTCCGTCTGTCTCACTGTCCGTCTCTCTGTCCTTCTGTCTCACTGTCCGTCTCTCTGTCCGTCTGTCTCACTGTCCATATGTCTCTCTGTCTGTCTGTCCGTCTCTCTGTCCTTCTGTCTCACTGTCCGTCTCTCTGTCCGTCCGTCCATCCATCTCTCTGTCCGTCCGTCTCTCTGTCCTTCTGTCTCACTCTCCGTCTCTCTGTCCTTCTGTCTTACTGTCCGTCTCTCTGTCCGTCCGTCCATCCATCCATCTCTCTGTCCGTCCGTCTCTCTGTCCTTCTGTCTCACTGTCCGTCTCTCTGTCCTTCCGTCTCTCTGTCCGTCCGTCTCTCTGTCCGTCCGTCCGTCTCTCTGTCCTTCTGTCTCACTGTCCGTCTCTCTGTCCGTCCGTCTCTCTGTCCTTCTGTCTCACTGTCCGTCTCTCTGTCCGTCCGTCTCTCTGTCCGTCTCTCTGTCTGTCTGTCCATATGTCTATCTGTCCGTCCGTCCGTCTCTCTGTCCGTCCGTCCGTCCGTCTCTCTGTCTGTCTGTCCGTCTCTCTGTCCGTATGTCTCTCTGTCTCACTGTCCGTCTCTCTGTCCTTCCGTCTCTCTGTCTGTCTGTCCATATGTCTATCTGTCCGTCCGTCCGTCTCTCTGTCCGTCCGTCCGTCCGTCCGTCTCTCTGTCCATATGTCTCTCTGTCTGTCTGTCCGTCTCT